CGGTCAGTATACTCTTGTATATTCCTAGTATACTAATAATAGAGATCTTTTACCAGTAATTTCCATTAAATATTCACTTCCTATTACATTTGTATTTGCAGAATGTTACTACTTCAAATTTAAATTTATATTATGCACAATTTTTTCACTACATGTTATGTACATATAATGCATGTACATGTACATATACATTTACATGTGCATTTCCTAATAGGCTCCAGGTGGTCACGAGTTGGTATGTGATTATTGGGAGGTGGTTGGGCTCTCTCCTCCTGGTGGAGCTGATAATCTAGTGAATGAGGACTCACTGGTTGATGTCCAGTTAGACCAAAGACACATGATGCTTAGGGGAGACGTGGTAAACCTAATTATTACACCTTTTAATTTGGTACCATTTTCTATTATTTTATTTTTTTGATTTTGTTCTGTTATTGAGATGTACATTTTTTTTTGTTTTATAATACATGTAGTTGTCAAAGATATTCCGAGTTCGTTCAATGGTGGGACATTGGTAAGTGATAATGAATGATAGAGAGAGTGGGAGAGAGAGAGAGAGAGAGAGAAAGAGAGAGGAAGGAGAAGAAAGAGCTAGGTAGGTTTTAAAAAACTATTTCCATCTTCTCTCTTTTAGTTTTCGTCAGCACTTCTTTGACAGAGGATACATTGAGGTACTTATGCATGTACATGTATACACACGTTACTAGCTTTACACTGTCACAGGTAACTCCTCCCACTTTGGTGAAGACACAAGTTGAGGGCGGAGCCACTTTATTCAAACTGGATTATTTTGGTGATGAGGTATGAATCATGATACTTGTAGTACACCTTTAGTTGTGTGTACTAATTTAGCAAACATTTGAACTATGTAACTATTGTATTGATAATCTAATGTTCTATGAATTATTACACACAATTATAAAAATCCTGAAGTATAAAATGAACTTAAGATATATGTTTCCATTATACATTATTATTATTATTATTATTATTATTATTATTATTATTATTATTATTGTTTTGTAGGCTTATCTAACCCAGTCTTCTCAGTTATACCTTGAGACTTGCATCCCATCCCTGGGTGACGTGTTTTGTATGGCACAGTCTTATCGTGCTGAACCATCACGAACTAGAAGACACATTGCAGAGTAAGATAAAATAAAATAAACAAATAAATAAATAAATAAATAAATGGATAAATAAATAAATAAATAAATAATGAGTATCATACACTAGCTTATACTATCCACGTACATGTACATTGTAATGTGGTATATTAATAATAAAAATGTTTAATTCTATTATCAGTAAAGTTGTACTGTTATGTCTCCTTATAATCTATTGTTTTATTATAGATACACTCATATTGAAGCTGAGTGTCCCTTTATTTCATTTGAGGATCTCTTGGACAAAGTAGAGGACCTGGTAATGATTTATATATGATCGGTCTTCTCTTTTTTGTAACTTTTTATTGTAATTTCTAGAGTTATGAGCACTTTTTAAAACTAGCAGATTTTGAGAAAAAAGCATGGACTATATATAGCCCATGGTTTTTTCGAAAAAATGGCTCCAAAATCACCCAAAATTTTTATTACATTTTCTGATGCATATTGATGCCCTTATGCTGTGTAGAAAGTTTGAGCCGATTCCAAGCTCAAATTCTGGAGTTATGAGCACTTTTTTAAAACTAGCAAATTTTGAAAAAAAAGCATGGACTAAATATAGCCCATGGTTTTTTCTGAAAAATGGCTCCGAAATGATCCCAAATTTTTATTACATTTTCTTATACATATTGATGTCCTTATGCTGTGTAGAAAGTTTGAGCCGATTCTGAGCTCAAATTCTGGAGTTATGAGTACTTTTTAAAAACTAGCAAATTAAAAAAAAGCATGGACTATAGCCTATGGTTTTTTCGAAAAAATGGCTCCGAAATCACCTCAAATTTTTATTACATTTTCTGATACATATTGATGTCCTTATGCTGTGTAGAAAGTTTGAGCCGATTCTGAGCTCAAATTCTGGAGTTATGAGCACTCTTTTAAAACTAGAAAATTTTTTTAAAAGCATGGACTATTATAGCCCATGGTTTTTTCCATAAAATTAATGGCTCTAGAAACACCCCAAATTTTTTTACATTTTCTGATACCTATTGATGTACATGTACTTATGCTATGTAGAAAGTTTGAGCTGATTCCTAACTTAAAATTTATATTTTTAAATAAATTTTTAAAGTTGCTTAACAAATGAAACCTTTCTTGTATTTGTTTCAAAATATCTTCTACTTATTAATGTCTGTGTAGGTCTGTGATGTTGCTGAACGTCTCTCCAAGTCTCCAATATCAAGCAACTAGAGATGTTGCTAGCAAATAAAATGATACGTAACAATGAGAACCAGTATCCGTA